GCTGTTGCATGGTTTTGACAGTCCTTGATTGCTCGGGGGATGGCTGACGACCCTTTTAGGACTTGACAGGGCCGTGGGACGTCAGAGCGCAGTCCGAAAAGAACACATGCAAATTTCTTTTTCAAAATCGTAATTAATCCATTTTCAAGTAGATAATTCTTACATTATTTTATTCATTATTGGCCATAAGTGAAAGTCAAGCCTATAGTAAAGCAACTACTTGTTCAATATATATTATACCATTTTAAAACAATGTTATCTGTGATTGCAGACTTTCCAAATCCACAGAAAACGCGTGTTATTGTGGTACTTTATTATGATTATAATTGCATACTCAAATAAAACCAAATATTCCGGAGTTTGATAAATTCAAATCATTATTGTCATCAAACAAAATAAATTTGTGCCAACTATAAGACAAGAAATACAATTTAGATATACAGTAAAATATAAATTAATAATTTAAGTAAAAACACGTATATAAGATGCAAAAAAATCATACATTTTGCACCTACACTTAACTTTTAAAGCCCATAGAAACAGATGTAAACAATTCAAATCTACCAACTTGGCCTTTGTTACCTTCTGTAATAAAGAGTTCTATTTCATTTGTTTAATTGTAACTGGATATCAGCCTGTTGGTTAATTTTACAATTAAATACAAATGTTTTTCATCTAGTGTTCCACGAAAATATTGAAATGGTTTGCCCTAAGTTATCTGAGTAAGATCACATATTATGATTGATATGGTAATAATTATAAATTAGCTGTTTACAAAACTTATAATTTTTCGAAATACTAAGGATTTTCTACACCAGGAATAGAATATCTTAGCTGTATTTGGCAAAACATTTAGGAATTTTGGATCCTCAATGCTCTTCAAAATCGTACTTTATTTGGTTTTTTTAACGTTTTTGATTCGAGCATCATTGATGACTCTTTTATATACGAAACGCGCGTCCGGCGTACAAAATTTAAATCCTGGTATATATGATGAGTTTATGTATACTGATTCCAAGGACATAATTAGTTATCAAAGGTACCAGGCTTATAATTTAATACGCCAGACGCGCGTTTCGTCTACATAAGACTCATCAGTGACGCTCAGATCAAAATAGTTATAAAGCCAAACAAGTACACAGTTGAAGAGCATTGAGGACCCAAAATTCCAAAAAGTTGTGCCAAATACGGCTAAGGTAATCTATGCCTGGGATAATAAAATCCTTAGTAATTCGAAAAATTCATACTTTTGTAAACAGGAAATTTATAAAAATGACCATATAATTGATATTCATGTCAACACCGAAGTGCTGACTACTGGGCTGGTGATACCCTCGGGGACGAAACGTCCACCAGCAGTGGCATCGACCCAGTGGTGTAAATAATTATCAAAGGTACCAGGCTTATAATTTAATACGCCAGACGAGCGTTTCAACTACATAAGATTCATCAGTGACGCTCAGATCAAAATAGTTATAAAGCCAAACATAAAGTATCGATCGAAGAGATTCAGCATTTGATGAATGCTTGTAATGAAAGCTTGTTCAAAGCAGCTTTTAACTAAAAAATGATCATCTTTAACCAGACTAAAGAATGTATATGTACACATCCACCCAATTTAGTGTAAAGACATCATTAAAATTCTGTCTGAGAAAAGCATGTTAAAATATAAGTAACAAGAATGTGTCCATAGTACACGGATGCCCCACTCGCACTATCATTTTCTATGTTCAGTGGACCGTGAAATTGGGGTCAAAACTCTAATAAGGCATTAATTAATTAGAATTAGAAAGATCATATCATAAGGAACATGTGTACTAAGTTTCAAGTTGATTGGACTTCAACTTCATCAAAAACTATCTTGACCAAAAACTTTAACCTGAAAAACTTTAACCTGAAGCGGGACAGACGAACGAACGGACGCACAGACCGAAAAACATAATGCCCCTAGGTGGGGCATAAAAAGAACTTTTTATTGACAGTTTGTAGGATTTTAAACAAAGGAAGACAGGAAATTGTGCCATACAATAACTGTATATAATATTCATTTTCTTGCCATAATAAAACGTATTAGTTTTAGAATGTGTTGCTTGGACTTTTTCACTGGAAAGACTGAGGGGGAGGGGGAGACATTAGTTTTAGTTAACTGAAACGTCCCACCTAGTTTCAAGCTTTGGTTTTATGTCATACTTATAAAAAATCCGTTTGTTTACATTTTACTTCAAATTCTCTGGAAAAACATAGTCACTCTAAAAAAAAACCGTTCACATCACGTGAAAAAATACGAACCGAGTGGGACACTTTAGCTACTGAGAGTGCGTGTAGCAATTTTCTGTCATGATTAAATATACTGCAGTAAATCCCTTCTTTGTGAAGAAAACATATGATTGACATTTTTATAAATGATAACATCTGCATTCCATTCTAAAGTCAATATCTTTAACTAGCATTTCACGATTCAGCTACTTTTTGAATTACTAAATTTTATTTATTACTTTATTTCTCAGACATAAATTAACTTGCAATCCTGTCATAAAGTATAAAGATCCATTTAACTGCTTAAATGAGCCTTACATTCATCATGTGTAGCCTTTATGACTTACATTTCAGTCTTTCTTGTTTCAAAGCTATTGTAAAAATAAAAGAACGAACCAAATCTATATTTGAATGAATTTTCAACATTTCTTTTATTTTTTCTGCATTGAACTTCTGTAAAATTTGATGTGCGCTTATTTTCAGTTTTGCTATTTCCTGTTGTAACTGGCTCAAATTGTTCAGGGTAATCTCGAGAGATGGCAACATTGAAGGTAATGGACGTGGAGCCTGACTCTGTGACATTTGATAAAGTAAAGTAAGTCTTTGAGGTCAGGGATGGACTTAACATTACACAAGATCGTGTATTCTTGTGCAGTTTATTACGTTGCTGTATGTAATTGCTTATGCATTACACCATATGAGAGTGTGGAACAGAGTGATTTGATATCGGCAGATTGTGTGGTTTTAACTGCTTTCAGTAAATGAAAGTATTGTTTGACACGGTATTATATTATTTGCGGCATATTACTGTTTTCTATTTTTTTATGCTGTGTGTTCTATCGTTGTTTTTAAGTAACTTGCTTTTCCTGTACTTCTTTTTTGCATTTTTTGCATTCTTTTTTCCCTTTCGTTAGTCCACTAAAAGAGATTAAACAGTGACGAGGAATTAAAGCTACAAAAATAACTTAGTTTGCCTTAGACGTATTTACCACAACTTTCGGAATTTTACTTTTCCAATGCTCTTCAACCTCGTATATGATTTAGCATTCCAACTGTTTTGATCTCATCAATTGAGTCTTATGTAGACGCAACGCACGTCTAGTGTACCAAATTATAAGCCTGGTATCTTTGATGATTTTTTTTTTAAATCCCGCCACTTATGGCTGTCCCTACTATGTAACGTCGTTATTGGTTGTTTTATGGTATCATAATTATACAATATAAGTATTATATATGTCTTTAAAATTACGCTTCCAACAACAATTGTTTCCTGAATTTCGCTTTGAAAATATTCACTGCTGAATTCAGTTTGTGAAACAATCATTCTAAAATTATCAGGCCTAATAAATGTTTAAGTAAAAATTTAACTTTAAATATTTTAAATAAAAAAATTAAATGGAAACCAAAATCTTCCATCCATGAAAGACTTAAGAATATCAATACATTAGGGATCTTTCTGTGATACATTGGATATTCCCTAGTATCTTATTAAGCTTTCATCTAATTTTTTCCCGCGCGACGTGTTGCGGGGGTATTGAAATAATGGGCATCCGCCCATCCGTCCGACTGTCTGTCCGGTCTTGCAATGTCTCGGGCAAGTTTGAAAATAAGTGCCGATCAATTATTTTTAAAAGAGTTATGTTTGTTGTGTCATACTAGTTACCAAACAACTGTGTTGATTAGTTACTCTTATGTTGTTGTGTCATACTATTTGACACTTATCTGTGTTGATTAGTTACTCTTAGTTTGTTGTGTCATGATATTTGCCATAAAATTGTGCTGAATAGGTACTCTTAGTTTGTTGAGTCATACTATTTGCCCCACAACTGTGTTTATTAGTTACTGTTTTTTGTTGTTGTGTCATACTAGTTGCCAAACAACTGTTTTGATAAGTTTCTCTTATTTTGTTGTGTCATACTATTTGACCATTATCTGAGTTGATTAGTTACTTTAAGTTTGTTGTGTCATAATATATGCCACACAGTTGTGCTGTATAGGTACTCCTAGTTTGTTGAGTCATACTATTTGACACTTATCTGTGTTGATTAGTTACTCTTAGTTTGTTGTGTCATACTATTTGCCCCACAATTGTGTTTATTAGTTACTCTTGTGTTGTTGTGTCATACTAGTTGCCAAACAACTGTTTTAATTAGTTACTCTATTTTTGTTGTATCATACTTTTTGACACTTATCTGTGTTGATTAGTTACTCTTAGTTTCTTGTGCCATATTATTTGCCACACAACTGTGTTTATTAGTTACTCTTGTCTTGCTGTGTCATACTTGTTGCCAAACAACTGTTTTGAATAGCTACTCTTATTTAGTTGTGTCATATTAATTGACACTTATCTGTGTTGATTAGTTACTCTTAGTCATAATATATGCCACACAATTGTGCTGAATATGTACTCTTAGTTTGTTGTGTCATACTATTTGCCACACAACTGTCTTGATTAGTTACTCTTGTTTTTGGTGTGGCATACTTTTTGCCACATAACTGTCTTAATTAGTAACTCTTAATGTATTGTGTCATACTACAGAAACTATTTATTCTGTCGTACTATTTCCCACACAAATGTGATGATTAGTTACTCTCACTTTGTTGTGTCATAATATTTGCCACACAACTGTGTTTATTAGTTACTCTTAATTCCTTTGTGAACTGAAATATTATGGAAATTTTATTTCGTCTAAAAGTGGGAATAATTTGAATTTCTAATTTAAGAATAGAATTGTCATCAAAAGGCAGATATGACACATTTTATTACATAGTTTAAAAACACTAAGCACAAATAGATATTGATGTATAATTTAGATTTTAAAAACTAAAGCTGTATTATAGAAGTTATCGCTACTATCATCCCTTATTTCATATGACAGCAGCATCATTCCTGTTTCCCTGTTGATATCTATTGCATGAGGATCTTTGATTCCACCAGACTCTGATAGTATTGTCTTACAGGTTTTACCATCGGGCGATACTACCACGATACTGTTGTTTCCATAAGAAGCTATATAAATGAAGCCATTCTTGTCTAATGTAAGTCCTTCTGGATTGACAATGCCATTGTGCTTAAATGACCATAGAAGTTCTCCGCTACTTTTGTAGCAGCAGATGTTGTTTTGGGAGTTATTGGTTCCATAGATATTCCCATTGAATAATGCAATACGATAAGTCTTAACGCCTTTTAAGATTGTATGCGAATTATCAATACGATTCACTAAAGTACTTTTATCAACACAGCTGATGACCAATATGTTATCATCACTTGCTACTCCATTACAAAAATGGGAGAGTTTAATTGTTTGAATAATTTCCTTCTTTTCTACATCCACCAATGCTGTCTCCCTTGCTGATCCTAACGTGACAGCTACTGTGTTATTTCGGACAAAGCAAACATCACATGGCCCATTTGTGAATGTAACTACTTTTCTGATTAAGGTACCATCATTACTAAACAGCAGTAGTTGTTTCCCTCTGTAATCAAGTATTATGAATCTACCATCAGGTAAAATTAGACAAGCATGTATTTCTGAAGACTTTATATCTTTAGGAATTGTCAATCGTCTCAACAAAGATGGCCTAATTTGTTCAATTCCAGGTGTGTTTGGAACTAAATGCTGGGCTTGATCTTTTCTTCCGGTTTTAAGTCGGAGAGTAGAAAAGGTGGTATTGATATTAACATCTCCAAACGACTCCACATTTTCTAGTATTGATTGAAGATGAGATGAAATGTTAACTTCTAAATTCTTCTCATCAAAGTGGTCCCCACATTGTAAACTTTCTATATATTTTGCGACTTCTGATGTAGTTTTCTCAATTTCTGTCAGACCAACATACATTTGTAACTCAGTTGCATATTGTGTCATTTTGGTAAAGTCGGTTTGCATTTGACCTATCTGACTGGCTCGCTGTTCTATTTGTTGTAAGAGAGTGCCCATATTGGATATCAGCTTTTTATGTTTAGACCCCAAGTCAGAGATTATTTGCTGCTCTAATTTGTTTAGGTAATCAACTAACGACTTCCTTATACTGCGGATTTCCTCAACGGCTTTTGTTTCCTGAATATTGCTTGTACTGATCCTGGTTTTCAAGTATTTTATTGCCTTATCCAAGTTTTCCTTTACATCCTTCATAACTTTTTCGAAAATCTGAACTGAGGCAGATGATTTTACTTGCTTAAGGATATCGGAGAGTGGTTTCAAGTCTTGACATTTCTGGTGTTTATCGGTGATGCACTGGACACAGCAGGGACAGGAATGGAAGGAACAGTAAAGTTCAAACTTCTTGTTATGATCCTTGCATTGACTACTTCTTTCTTGCATGAAAGCAGGTAGTTTTTGATAATCTTCAACGGACATGGTTTTATGATTCTTGTACAGTCTGGTTTTTCTGTGAGGTTTTTCACAGTCTCCACAAAAGAAAAATTCACATTCTGTGCACCACGTGTCTGCTTCGTTAGAGATTCCATCATCATGGCAAATTGTACAAACGTGTTTTAACAATGAGGCCATTATGCCTTTCTCTTCAGTTCTGAAATGTATGATTTTTTTTCTATAAGATAAAGCAATATTCAGATTGGTAAAATAGTTGACACCCATATATTACAATAGGCCTTTTATGGTTATGAATGGTCGATTCATATCAATATTTAATGTATCAAACACTTTTTGCATCTTCGCGACAACGTGTTAATTTCAAATGAGTTAACTTTATTTATCACTTTAACACATGCTGAGTCGTATTTTTAAGCACTCGGGAAAGATCTGTACTGACAAATCAAACTAACCCGATGTCTTTTATATTTTGATTGCGTCGTTAGGTTGCTGCTTCATTAACGTATACACACCATCGACCTTTTATCATATCAATTTTAAATGAATGATCCATATCTTAGGTGTTCGGTATTTTTTTCAATTTCAAGAAAAGAATAGCGGGTAAATTTCAAGAAAAAAAAACGTCCCTCAGTTAATCCCTCGGACCATTCAAATTGATAAAACCAAATATGGTTTTATTTATGTATTATGTAGATATCAATATTCGTACAATACGGCAGCTTATATCGCAACTAATGCTAATATGATAATCATGATAAAGCGGTTTACTTTGAACAAACAGGTATTTGATTTGTCAATTTGATAACGATTCTGTTCTGGTTCTTTTCGGTAAAAAACAAACAATTTCATAGAAAATTTCAAATTCCCGCTTTCATCTATATACATAAAATTGCTTGTCGAATGATATTCAAAATAATAATTCGATTTAAAGGGCTTGACCGTTAAATCGCGTTATCAGAGGAAGGCAAGACTTGCGCCAGTTCATGCACAGATCAATGTAACTCGCATGTCTTAATTCGATTACACGGCATATAACTTTTAACAGCTATAGCACTGTTCACATTTTTCTGAATGCACGATCTGCTAGGAAGTAACGGAATATATCCAAGGTCAGATTGTTGAGTTTATTGTATGTATAATTAATGTAAACCCACCCATCCGTCCTCTTTTAGTTTTTCGATATTGCTGTTTTATGTGCTATTTGTAAAACCCCAAAAAATAATTTTGACCAAAAAGGTAATATCCGTAATTGAAATGTTAGATTTAACTTTTTATTTAAATTGAATTATCATTTAGAGTTAGTCTAAATTTAACGCGTTCATTCTCAAAACAATTCTCAAATCGGGCTCTCTGTGAGTTGTCACATGGTATACATTAGGCACCGACCATACATCTTTTATGGTATGGAAAGTTTTTTTCTCTCGGAACTAATCATTTTTGCTCAACTGTAATCAAAAGCAAACTATTTTATATAGATAATATGCATCAAAAAGAAACATTTTTTTAATGAAAAATCAATGCTATTTGTACTTTTTTTTAATATGAATATCCAATAGAAACAAAATATTTTTTTATCAAATCCCTTGTAAATACAATAAAATTCATTTGGCTAAAGCAGTTTACTTATTGAAAAGATGAAATTCACCGATGAATTAAGGAATGGACAGATCGATAGACAGATCAGATATTGGACTAGAAAAGAAATGGACATCATTGAAACTCATCTATTGGATACTTGAAACAAACAATATCAGTCACAAGTTATCACAACTTGGATTATAAATGTTTTAAAATGTATAAGTATAAAGCCATGTAACAAGAACACTGTGTACAATAGTTGCAGAAAGAAAATGTACACAATTTTCCAAACCAATCACAATCCCTATTCAACAATGTTGTTCAAATATTAATAACTGTACATCTTGTTAAAAAATATTTCAAAAGATCTATAATAAAGGTTAAAACGTCCAATTTTTCAAACAAAATGAAAGACCCTTTTAAGTAAAACATATTCTTGTTATGAATTAAATTTGCCTTTCGCTCAGTAAAGAACGATGATCTTAAAAAATAAAACAAAATGTAGGTTATCAAAAAGATTAATTCTGTTTACATAAAACGCATTCAAAGAAAAAAAATGAAATATAACATATGTTATGCTCTCCTACATAACAGTGTTTAAGGGATTGGATTAGCGGGATTTCAATATATCTATACAATTCTATTATTTGCGACAACAAGCGCTCGGGGAATGGACCCTCCCTCTTTACTCTCAGTTTTACATATTTTTATATCACACCCAAAAGAAAAGATAAGTTAGGCGGCACATAAAAATAACTTCCAATTGTTAGTTTTGGTATGTGCAAAAACACAGTAAAGAATTTCTATTTAAAATATATGTAACTAGGGAAATGATCTATACCCCAAGCGCCTGAGTTTTCAGCCACTATGAACCTTATGTTTCAATTTTCTGTTTAAAGAATTAAAGATTTCTTATATGATATAATTAAGGACTGTTGATAAAGTATTATACATTCTGAATTTGTTGGAGTAAAAATAAATGAGCAATTGAATTAGTTTAACATTCTTACCATGAACATTTTGATGGAAAAGAATTTTCACAAGGAAGTAAAATGTCCAATATCTGGGACACTTACCTGTTGAGATATAGACCTAGCGTGACTTTATCTATAAACACAGATACGTTTAAAAGGAATGCAACCTTTGGAAAAACAGTAATTTTTGTATGTAAACAAATTAAATGTTCTCACCACTTTTACTTTATAAAACACTTGCAAAATTACAAACAGATTTCTATGACAACCAAACATATAATGATATAGAATAAACTATAGATTCATTTGATTGCTAAAATATAATTTGTTGTTTTATCTATTACGTTTAATGTAATGATAAATTCAGACTTTTTTATCATTACGTTGACTTACTCACGGCTGTCATTCGGTATATCGAGAAAAATGATCGTGAAAGAATACCTAACGGTGGTCAGGCATTGCGATCGGATCGTGAAAGATCTGGTATCGGTTCGTGAATGTAATTAATTGTAATTCTACTTCAAAATCTGTGGAAAATATGCTGTATTTTCAAAACGTGGAACAAATCCGAAAAAAAAGTTATGTTTGTCAAAATGGTTCAACTTTGTCAATAACATTGAGCAATAAGGTAAAGAAAATATGCAATACTTCATGAGAAAACACAAAAGGCGCAACACAAGTCTAAGGGATTCATTAAAAAAATAACACATTTTGTACCTATAATGGTCACATTCCGATATATAATGATGTATTTGAAACTGAATCTTTGGTGTGTCTGATAGTACAGTAAAATAAAAGTTTTTTCCCCATGAAACCGTTCATTTTGTTTTTGAAAACATTGAATTTTGTTGATTTTTCATCAAAATTGATCGTGAAAGATCGGGCAACGCATTATCTTGATCAAGAAAGACAAGGCGTGACCAGATGGACACAGGACGTTTGAGCTTTTTTATATGTAACACTAAAGGAAATTCGCGCTTCAAACACTATGGACATTTGCGCTTTTAACTTGGATACACCTGAACAAAATTGACAAGACATTTGCGCTTTTTACCTTTAATAGTTGTATACCTGTAATCTTTGGAAAATTTACCAAAGTCATGGAAAGATGTTCACATACTCTTTGAAAGTTCTTCCGAACAAACGACAAAACCAGAAAAAAATATTCGGGTAAACCAGACATATTATAAAAAATATAGTACACGTTTCTGGGTAAACGATAGAGAAAACGAAACTTTTATGGATGGAACATTTAAATTTTGACCAAAATTTTTCAGTTAGCTTTCTTATTAGTGGATTAATATTGGAAAGTATATTCCTCTTGTGGTTATTCTGTTGCATGAATAGTCCGAGGAACTGTAAATTTTTTATTTTTAAATCCCCCTGCTGTACCTGTTGACTTTTAGAAAGAGTCATGGTGTCGTTTTCATCTGACATAAGCAAGATGGGGAAAGGTTGATGCTTTTAGCCGTATATAAATGTATGAATGTTTTTTTTTCATATCAAATGATTTTTTATGTAATGTTGATAAAGCGCAAATGTCTCAAAAATTTAAGCGCAAATTTCCATTAAAAAAGTGCAAATTTTCTATCAAAAAGCGCAAACGTCCCGCGCCAGACCAGACTTAATAATCAGAAAACAATATTACTTGCAACTAGTTGAAGCGTGTGATTATTTTAATAAGAACAGACATTAATGCTTTCATTTTTTTTTCACTTTTTGTTAATTCAACACTTTTCCTTCAAAGTTATTAAAATAACTAAATACGTGTCAAGCTAAGTAGATTTTCAAGATAAAGGGACCTTCAGAAGCCTTATTTTTTTAAAAGTAAAAGTACATATGTATCTGTAATGCTTAAGGTGGTACATAACACTACAGGGATATAACTCTGTAAAAAGCAGCTGAACGTTTTAATCACGTTCAATTAAGGAAACCTTCTCAATGATCAAAATTAGTGTTTGTCAAACTGCTATATATCCAATGAAATTTTCCTATAAAGGGTGTGGTTTAAGTTTTTTGAAATTTTAATATATTTTTCATAGGGTCAAAGTAAATTTTTTGTCAAAATTTTATGAAAATTAAACTAGGCAAATTAATTTTAGTCAAAGTGTTTGGTACCACCTTTACTCATCCGCCCTGAAAATTTATGCATGTGTACGCATTTTAAAAAAAAATTGTTGATGTCAGAGTTGTTATGATAAGTGTTGTTCGTGCGTACATCGTATGACAATATTGGCTAATTCATTTTTTTTTTCGTGGCTGCGCTGACATAAACTAAAAATGTACCAAAATAATGTATCAATTGTTTGATCAGTCTGTTCACAAGATCAACGTACCTCGCGATCGATTGTGCATGATGCCCAGCTTGAACTGTAATTTAGCCGATAACGTTCTATTCTCAATCTTAAATTCATATAAGAAATTAAAACTTATGAAGGACGAACAAATAGACTGATATTGCACCTAGTTGGTGTGGTATTATAAGATAATCAGATCCAATGGCATTGAACGATGATAGCCGGATTCACCAACAAAAGAGAACCGGAATGCGTCATGCAAATCCAATATTTGCTATACCTATTAAAAATATAAATTATCATGTAATTAAATAATGATTTGAACGTTTTCGTAGCATCAGATCTTTCACGACCCTTTTCACGATCTTCAAAAAAAGCGGTACGCGATCTTTCACGATCCAAAATTATATTTTTTGTAAATATTTCATTTTTTGTAAAATTTGTGATTATGCTAACACAAAATAACTTTAAGAACCATTTGAATCATTAAAATGGAATGACATTTTTCAAGGAAAAGTTGTTTAGTCATTCGAATTATGCAAAAAATCTTGTTTGTTTACATATCTAATGTCATTGAAATGTCGAAGAGCAATCTGCCTTTTGTAGTTTTGTAAAAACGGTTTACTTTTAAACCTTGATTTTTCTCAGAAACTGATCATAATGTTGTACCATTTTTGACAGACAGTTTTATGTTTTTGTAAATTTGTCCGTATAATTCATTAATTTAGATAAGCAATTGACCTTGCATATGTCTTCTCGATAAGATTTCCTTCACGATCCTATACCAGAGCTTTCACGATCCAATCGTAATACTTGACCACCGTTAGGTATTCTTTTATGATCCTTTTTCTCGATATACCGAATGACACCCGTGTTACTGTTCGTGCATAATATACACGAGCCAGTAATTAAATACATTTCATTTCGCAATATGAAGTGTTATCTAAATTTTAGTATGAGGGTGTAAAAGTGGTCAAAATTTATGCGAAAAAAATCAAAATTGCGTTTAAGATTGATTTGAGACACGGGTACCATCATATAGATATTCATGTTGAATCACAACATCTTAGGTTTTCATGGGAAATTGGCAGTTATATATTACCCATCTAGATTCAAAGCTACTGATAAAAATAAAAGAACGAACAAATCTATATTTGAATCAATCTTTATACTTTTCTTTTGTTTTTCTGCATTGCAATTCTATAAAGTTTGATCTTGACCTATTTTCAGTTTTGCTATTTCATGTTGTAACTGGCTCAAATTGTTCTGCGTAATCTCGAGAGCGTCAGTTGCAACATCGAAGTTATTGCAAATGGAGCTGGACTCGGTGACAGTTGATAAAGCAAAATTTAGATAAGTCACCCAGGTCACCGATAGACTAGGCATTGCACAAGATCGTGTATTCCTGTATTGTTTGTTATGTTGCTGTTTGCAATCATTTATGCAATACAACAACCGATATTAGAGTTTGCAACAGTTTGATTTCATATCGGCAGATCGTGTGCTTTTGAATTGCTTTCAGAAACTGAAATAATTGTTTGATGCGGTACTATATTATTGTCCGTGTTTCTCCTGGTGTTTATATCGTTATTTGAGAGAACTTGTTATTCTTGTACTGTTTTTTTTTAAATTTTCTGTTATTTACCTTACATCTGTATAATGAAAGAGGTCAAAAAGGGACAATGACTGCAATCTACAAAACATAAGTCGCCTTAGCCGTGTATAGCACAACAATTCGGAATTTGATTTGGCCTTCCAACTGGTTTGATTCGAGTGCAACAATTGAGTTTAATGGAAAATTAATTGAAGATGAATGTCATTTTATTTTAATATGTAAGAACTATGAAAATATACGTAAAAGATATATAAAACAATACTAATCGAAAAATCCTTCAGCTTTAAAACTTGTGCAGTTATTATAAGTACAAAATGTAAAAGAACTGAATAATTTAGGGAAATATTTGTTTGCTGCCGAAAAACTTCGTAATTTATAAATGTTGTGTGTCATACTCGGCTACTGTTATTTAACAATCGAATATCGATATTATTCGCTATCTATTACTGTTTATATATGTATGTGTGTATTGAAATTTGATGTATATTTTCTTATATGCCTATAAGCTGTAATGCTTTTGGAAAATAATGTATTAGTATATGTAGACGCAACATGCGTCTGATGTACCAAATTATAAGCCTGGTATCTTTGGTGAGTTTTTAAATCCCGACACGTTTGGCTGTCCATACAATGAAACATCGTCATTAGTTGTCTTATAATATAGGAATGATACAATATAAGAATTATAAATATATATATATAAATGACGCTTCCAACGCAACATTTGTTTTCCTGAATTTCGCTTTAACATTTTCCACTGTTGAATTCAATTTGTGAAATAATCATTTTAAACTCATCAGGCCTATACAATTCTTTATTAAAACTTAAACTTCAATTTTTTTAAATAAAATAATGAAATGGAAATCAAAACCTTTCATCCATGGAAGATTTAAGAACATCAATAAACTAGGGACCTTTCTGTGATACATTGTATATTCCCTAGTATTTTAATAAGCTTTCCTCTTATCTACATCTAAATAATATTTCTTTGTTTCCAAATATGTGCAATTCCAGAGAAAGTAGAGAGGTGATCAAGATTGTTTAGAAGATAAACTTAACACAGTTCTAGTATATTATTCACATATTTTATTTACAAAAAAACTATACATTTCAAACCATCAATAAAGCTAAGGGCATTGTTAGTATTCTTTCCTTCGTAATCTCTTACTGCTTC